TTATATCTTAAATTAATCCATTTCTATAAATCTATACCTTACCATGTGGCTCGTGGCTTACCGGCATCTTCACATTCTGTTTGTCATGGCGGCCGCTGGCAGTGACTCCTTCCACCTTCCTGTTCTTTCTTTTCTCCTCTCTGTTAGGCTTGCCTATACTTCCTGCCTAGCCACTGGCCAATCAGTGTTTTATTTATTGACCAATCAGAGTGATTTGACATACAGACCATCCCACAGTACAAAGCCACTACCTGAAGGGATCAAGGAATTCCTCCAGAGAAAGCCAAATTCCAAGGAGCTTTTGGTGTTATTTGGTTCTTTATAAATCAGCTGTCTTCTGTTATGAAAATCATATGTGCCTTCATAGCTTTTTTATTTTTCCCTAAGAAGTGCTAACAGTGTGGACTGATCTCTCTCTGGACATATACATTCCAGGTATTTGGAGAACAACCTCAGGAAAGGCTTCCCTCCCGCTAGCCCATCTGTTTCTCCCCTTTCAGCACTGGAATCAGATATCTCCCCTAGCCACTTTCAAGGACTAACAGAAGTAACAGTCCGGACCACCACATGCTAGTCTCCTGATTTAAGGTAAATTCCACAAGGAGACACCACCTAGGTCAGGTAGACCTTAAATAATAGCTTTGCACAATTTAGCTTGGACCCTCCTTTCTTACAGCCTTACTAACTTTATAGTTAGTAATTCTTACTAACTACTTCTTGAAATGTAGACTGAGCACATAGACTCCCTTTTTCATATACTAACCAGTCATTAGCACTCAGTTGACCTCCTCTTTTACCTCTCCCATTTTGGATTGTAAAAGAAAGCCTGGTGGTCATTGCCTGAGGAAAATTCTTACCTGCCTTTATGACGCCATACAATTCAAGCCTGGTGACCTTGCTTGACCAGGGGACTGCTATTGCTTAGGTTTATAACTGGACTCCTGAGAGACTTGGGGGGAATGGAGAGACGGAGAACAGAGAAGGATAAGGAGGATTTTGACCAGAGAGTACGTGTGAACGAGATGGAAGATGAGGAAGTACTAGCTGGGTAAGAACGAGATGAGAAGGACCTAGATGAGGCAGAATTAAGATGAGAAAATTAAGATAGAACTTAGAGGGAGCAGTAGATAATTATAGAGAGAAATCAGGGAAGAAAGACACAAGAACAGAACTGAAGCTGTGTAAATAGGATGTTATGCCAGAGGAATTAAAGCAAGTGGACTATAGAGCTCCCCAAAAAATAGTCCTCACCATTCATAGTTTTCTCTCCTCAGCCCCTGGGATGTATAATATTAAGGTTGGTCCCTCTAATATTATACAAGAAGGAACAATGATCCAGGACTTCCATCTCTCCCTCTATTTCTTCTTCTTACCAATCAATCCCAAGGCTGATGTGAAGGATGATCTCTGCACCCGCCTCTCCTTGGCAATTAATTCCTCCTGAACAGAAGCGGTTCCTGCTGGGCAGCTGCCTCAGTCTCAGCTGCCTGACATTCCACAGGGCAGCAGCCACACATCTGCAGCAGTGGATTGAAGGTAAATCTAATTAATCTTATCAATAAAAACAAGGAGTCAGCCTGGCGGTGGTGGCGCACGCCTTTAATCCCAGCACTCTGGAGGCAGAGGCAGGCGGATCTCTGTGAGTTCGAGGCCAGCCTGGGCTACAGAGTGAGTTCCAGGAAAGGCACAAAGCTACACAGAGAAACCCTGTCTTGGAAAAAAAAAGAACAAAAACAAAAACAAAAACAAAAACAAAAAACAAACAAACAAAAAAAAACAGGAGTCAGATATTGGGGTAAAAACTTGAATAATCAGAGAAGCAGGGGAGCAGCCACAGGCACTTCCTATCTCTTCCATTTTTCTGTCCAAAGGGGCCAAGATTGTCTCTCTGCCCCACCTTATCACTTCCTGTTTCCTCTCTGTACAGACCACTAGATCGCCATGGTTAACTAGTGGCCAGCTCTGCCCTCTGATTTCAAGCAAACTTTGTCAGAAGACAAACAAAATATCACACAACATTTCCCATCTTTTGTCTAAATAAAAAGCGAAGGTTTTAACTAACATAGAAAAACTATATACAATAAGAACAATAACTATATACAAATATATACAGGCAATAATTACATTAACAATGTCTAGTCCATTTGCATTTGACAAATTCAGAGAAAATAGTGGTCAGAAAAAGGTAGAGATATGCAGTAAAGACATTCAGATAAAAAAAAACCTCTAGATGGTTTGCAGTGTGATAAATTATAATAAGTTGAACAAGGATAGAAAATATACAGAGAGTATGGATTATGTACATTGTGTTGTCTTTAAATTTTTTGGCTGCTAAGAGACCATGGATTATGGAAGTTGCTATATTAAACCAACCTTGACTAAAATTACCTTGACTTTAAAATTTAAGTCAGAACATATGTTACTTTGGGGGAAATGATAGGTTATGGATTCACTCTGGGTTAAGAAAACCAGAGTGAAAAACTTGGGGAAGATCTGGAAAATCTCTGATGGGAACAGATGGCCCAGATGATCCAACATATCAGAGCACCTCTGTTGCAGTTTCCTCTGGGTTCTGCATCCAGAACAGCTTCAAGGCTGCAGGCCGAGATGATCCAGCCTCACAGAATACTACACTCAGGACTTGGCCATAATCCTAAATTTTCTCATGATCCACCAAAGATTACCACTGCCCACAATCAGCAGGAAGTAGTCTAGAGAACTATGCCCTCATTCTCAAAAAGTAGGTTATGGATATTTATTATCATTTAAGGGGGTTTGGTTACAAGTGTTATTGGTAATGGTCAAGAAAAAAAACTGAACAAAGAAGATTAGATTCAAGGGTCTCTTTCTGAAAAGAAAAGTGGGGTATAGAAATGATAGGATAAAAGGGTAGATTATTGAATCTACTTTAATTCAAATGACAACTATTAATCTTAAATATTTTACATTGGTATAGATTTTGGTTTATTGATACAAATTTAAAGTAAATTTTGTTATACTATATGTATATTTCTATTCTTGTTTAAAGTATTGTATTTATGCAGCTCATTTAAAATGTAATTTTTAATTAAGAAATACAGATTGATAGTCATCTATAATAGCAAACTTATAGTCATGTTAGGTATGTTTTCATGGTCATACTGAGATAAATTTCAAACAGGCAATCTTCAAACACTTCAAAGACCTACAGAATATGGCATTTAAAATGTTTTAAGAACTTAGGCTTTTCATGACAATGAGACATGTCTACTTCAGAGAAGATAATGGGCATTGAATAAACTCCATATGGAGATAGTTTTCTTTATGGCAAAAGCTAGCCATGTGGGAAAAGAAACTGCCCTTGCCTCAATTGTTGCCAGATACTGCCCAAACTGGGCAAGCAGGCTGAAAAAAAAAAAGGTGACTGCTGAACTTTGCCAAGACAAGATAGGATGGTCCTTTAAAATTCCCTGATTCACAGGAAAGTCTGTCAGGCATGCTAGGCCTGTAGGCCAGAGTTGGATGCCCCAACATCACAGAGGAACTTTGCATGTCAATCCAGACAGCTAGAGGTCTCTGTCATTAAGTAATATTTCACCTTTCTGGGGTCTTTGATGGAGTTGAAGACTAGATAGTTATAGTTTTCCTTAATTTTGATAAAAGATAACTTAGATACAAAACTTTGGACTCACAAAGATAAGATAATAGAGTATTTTCTCTAATTGTGCCAAATACAAATATCACGTAATTCTTACTTGATAACTGTCTTTGTTATATATAATCTTACTATGTTAAAGTTAAAACCTTCCTTTTTAATTAGACAAAAGGGGGAAATGCTGTGAAATAATCCTCTTGTACATGGTAAAGATTTGTCACTTGAATTGGTTTAATAAAACATTGATTGGCTGGTAGCCAGGTAGGATATATATATATATATAGAAGGGTGTGTATGGATGTGCAAAAGCAGAGCCAGACTATCAGAGCAAGATCTGAGCCCACCATGAACTCACCTGCTGAACCTGCCACGGAGCAGGGGGTCTTGGGAGTTGTAGTCCAGGGATTCCACACAGGCAAGTGGGCAGGGAGGACACTGCCGACTGATTGCTTCTCCTGGCTCTGGCAATGTAGGAGACAGAGGGGAGGCCCCGCAGTGCCCCTGTTCTCTGCCCCAAGGCTAATAACAGACATTGCCCTCCTGAGTCCCACTCACAGCCCCACTGATGGCCCCCCTCACATGGTGAGTCCTGCGGCTGGGGTGAGCTGTGGATGCGGCGCTTTGGGTCTACCTCATTGGCTGGGGGGCCATCTCAGAAGTGATCCACAGTCTTCGTCTTCATCTGATGTGCTGGAGGGCAGAGGGTCCCCACTGCGGAGCTCGTGGTGCTGGGGACTGCAGCTCTTGAAAGTCCACCACCCCATCTATTTTTTCCTTTCCCCTCTAACCAGGATGCCCCAGAGTCCAGCAAAAACAGGTGGGTTCTGATGAGCGAAAGAAGAGTGAGAGAGACCCTTCAGAGGTGTTCACAGGGCCCAAGACCGGAGACTCAAATGTAGTTTAGAGCGCCAGACTGCTTCCACAGCAGAACCGCAAGGAGGTCCACAGGGAGAGGCTTTCTTACAGTGGGGTTAGCAAGAGGAAAGACCCCGTAATTTTAGATGACGACCAGCGGGGGGCGCGCCATGCGCCAACACCAATGCATCCCTCAGCAGAGCCTCAGTGATCCATCAGTAAAACGGGGGCAATAACAATGTATGGCGTAGGGATGTTCAGAGAACTACCCAGTGAAACAGCAGCTGAAAGGCATCTGGCACGGTGCTGACTGCATCTCTCTGTGAGACAACCTTCATGAGAGTAATGGAAAAAATTATTAGACGGCTGCGGGGGCGTGGCCGGCTTCGGGGGCGTGGCTGGCTGCGGGGCGTGGCCGGCTGCGGGGCGTGGCTGGCTGCGGGGCGTGGCTGGCTGCGGGGCGGGGGCGTGGCTGGCCGCGGGGGCGTGGCTGGCCGCGGGGGCGTGGCTGGCTGCCACTCTGCTCCTACCACGTCTTCCTTCCACTGGAGACTCGGATGATGTCTGTCCTTTTAATACTGGGCAGTGAAATGGCGCTCGCCTGTGGTATGCGCCCCGAGGCTGTGCTAAGGCTGGGGAATGCCTCTGAACAGCTCACGGGCTTGGTCCCGAGTGCCTCCACCCATTCACGGATTTGTAGGGAGGTGGGTCTAGTTGGAGTAAGTGGGTCGCTGCGGATGTGTCCTTAGGGGTGACATCTTGTCCCCAGTCCTTTGCCCTCCCTTGCCCCACCCTCTTTCCCAGCTGCTGTGTGGGGCGAGCATCGGTGATTCACAACACCCTGCCTTAGCACAGACACTGAAATAGCGATCACGGGCTAAGTCTGACATCTTGATCTCAAATATTTTGTCGTAGTGTTGAAAAGTTGACAGAGACTCCAGGGACACAAAGAGGGTTCATGAATCTCCTAGGCCACACGGTTATCGCCTGGAACAATCAATAAGAGAAAATTGAATCACTTTCAAACCTGCGTGCACGGCCGGGAGAGACCGAGCCCTTGTTTAAGAGCCTGCAATCCAGGAGGGGCCAGCGGGCGGCGCCGGAGCACGCCCAGCCTTCCGCCTGCAGCCGGCTCGTGCAGCCAGGGGACGCGCAGTTTTGCAGGACTCGCTCAGCAAGATGGCATCCACTTAGAGGGACTTAGTGGGCAGTGCGGTCCAGTCAGGCCGCGCCGGAAGCGTTTGCATGTCCTCCGGAAGTCTTGGACCTACTTTGCTTCAGCTGTCAACCTGGCACCCACCTACAGTCACCTGGAAAGAGGAAATGTCACCTGAAGAACTGACTCCATCGCCCATGACAGTACCTGCGGGTCATTTTCCCCATTGCTGCTCAATGGAGGGGCAGCCCGCTGTGTGTCAGGTGTTGATCACGGCAACAGGACAGCAAGCTAACCAGAAACCCATCGGACCTCCCCTCCT